ATACTTTGCTACATATCACAGTGTTCAAAGAAATAAGCTGAATAATGTCAGGGAGTTTGGGATGGGGATGGGAGAAGATCGGTAATGAGAAAACACTTCAATGAATATGGGGCAGAGAACATTGCTAGCACTGAGAAAGCAGTGTGAATTTAATAGAGAAGAACATTTCACAACAAATGAGGAATAATCATAATGGTCAAATATAAAAATGTTTAAGTTTTCCATTCACTTATTCTGGACATGCTTACTTTCCACAGGGACTCAAAGTAATCATGGGCTTTTACGACAGAACCATTCTGAAAAATAAGTAGTTCTACTTAGTCATTCAAATACATGTACGTAGTAGCCAAATCCAAGCACTCATGAATAAAAGGTGGCACGTTCTTCTTCTAGTGGAACAGACAAGTTTCCTCCCTAGCTTTGGTAATGATACCATGTTCTTCTGCCAACACAAGTCTTCAGTAAGCAGAAAATCTTGTTGAAAATGCAACTACGGAGCACAACACACATTGATCAAATTATTTGGCTTTCGAGTTATGTAGAAGAGCGTATAAATTAAGTTTGGCACACATCAGATAGGCCATAACTAGTGGCAACAATGCAGTTACATGAAGACAAAGTGCAAGATAGAGAGGATGAACAGAGTGAATGAGGTGACATAAGTGAGCAGCATGAATAAAGGGGATAGAAAAGGAATTTAATAAGTTAAATGGGCATGAGTTAGCATGCGTAGGAGTAACTGATTGCCCTTTCCAATAGTCAGGAGTGATTTTCTTTTTTAATTGGATCATGCTTCTTCACTGCCAAATTGGATGCCATTTTTTTGCCCTTCTTTAGAACAAAATGTTTAAAATAAGTTTTAAAATATTTAATAATGCAAAATGGAGATACAAGAGTAATCATCAGAAACCTGCTGCCACAGAAGAACTGACTCAACTCTGTCCCTAGAAAGCCTCGTAATACTTTACCCCTGCCAAAGGAGATATTGGGTAATAGTTTCCAAGACACTAAAGCGATTAAGGTTTGGTACATGCTGATTTTGCTCTTGTCTACTTATGTCCATCCTGGGAATTGTTTTCCTTCTCTTTCCTTTGTCAAACCAGAATATTGATCTTAATGCCATGTTAAGACAGATGCTCTGTTGCACATGTGAGGGTTTTTATTTCAGTTTTTTAACAAGAAAGCTGCTTTGGTACAACAGGAAGCATGTTGAAATAAAACACATACTGCAAAAATTATGTTAATATGACCATAACAGAATAGTTGAACAGAGCAGTCTGGCCTGTACATCAAAGGTCTAAAGTGCTATGTCTAATTCTTAAGCATAACTTAGCATTTTAGTACTTAAATTGTCCATGAGCTGCTGAGAATATTCAACATTGATTTAACTGTTAATTCCAGGCTAAACCGATTGGGGGTGGATTATATTTTTAGAAGTGTGTTAATTTTGAAAAAAGTTAATGATAATAATAATAATAAAAAAGGTTGCTGAATCATTCCTTTTGACTTCTATTTTGTTCACTGTTAGCACTGGGATGAGACCTGTGGGCAGTACCTAACTCCTGCTCTGCAATACACCTCACATAATCACAATAAAAACTGTACTTCTCATCCCAAATAATATTTTCAGGAAAGGAACAAAGAATCCTAATTAAAAAACTCAACAACAGAAACAATCAGTCCCTTCTGCACAGCAGAAATTTGTGGATACTTAAAAGCAACAGGAACCCAAAGACACAGCGTTCAGCACTTCTGATGAAAGCTTCTCCCATGATGCTTTTCTGACCTGGATACAAAACGTGTATCTCATACTTTAAATAAACAGTCCATTGCCTTCCTTGTGACAAGTGGTCTTGCAAACGTTCATATAGCCACAAGGAATAAAACTGTCATCTGTTCTCTTGAAGACTATGGAGTATTTATGCCTTACAACAGTCATTCTGACTTAGTCTTCAGGCTTTGTTGAATTCATGACCTCAAACCCATTTGATTTTGGGAGGCACTAATTTGGCATCTGGGACAGCTTGATCTTAAGATTACCAACAGTACCATTACCTTTCTGCATGTGGGTGAACTAACTTTTCTGCTTGCAGATGAACCACTTTCTTTGCTTAACAGTTCTGATTTTTTTTTTCCTACACAACTGAGAGGTTTTTTGTTTTTGTTTCAAGAGATAGCTGTGTCCCAAGCATGGGTAGGACTTAGAGAAACGGGATTCTTAGTTGTGATACTAATGCTCTGTACCTATCAATCTGAAGCGCTCAGATATTCCTGCCAGGTAGCTGGCATTGGTAGTCAGTATGGGACACAGAATTAAAAGCCACTTCTGGAAGTGTTAAACCTTGAACTTTTATTTCATTTTCGTCATCTGCCAGATGCAGGTATTAGTAATTTACTCTAGAAGCCAATTCACACGTTGATTCCCTCACTTCTGACAACACATGTGAAAACTCTCAATATTCTTGAACAGGTCATTTATGCTTGAACTTGAATACAAAAGATGTTCCTCTTAAAGTGGATAATTTCTTATGAATTGAGCCAAAAATACAAAATTCACACAAATTCTTGACTCAGAAAAAAGTGATTCCATCCTTTCTGCTCCCACACCACCTGCCAATCTCTCCACCTCAAACGACCCATTTCCCAACCTCAATCTAGATGAGTTTAAGATTTGCATGCAAAAATTCACCATGTGCTTCATAATTTTTTTTCCTTCCAAATAGTGGTAATTAGATCTGGATCTCAATCCAAACAGCAGATGTTGGGCTTTCCATGCTGAAGAAGGCTGCCAGTGACCCAGAGGATCCTCTCTTAGTAATCACAGTATTGCCACACACGTACAGAATCTGCTAAGAAGAAAGTGCAGTGCATGGAACGCTCCTGTAATGTCAGAACAAGTCTGTGAAGGTAGTCTCCTCATAGTGAAAAAGGCTGCTATATTTTGGAAGGTGAAGAAAAGGGAATTTTCTATAGAGGGAAAGACACAGCAAGGGCAGTGTGTATAACTCTCAGCGATGCTGATTATGTCTCAGGGACAGCACTTGGGTGGGACCTAGAGGTTCAGCTACCTAAAACTCTGCACTTTTGTGATACTTAATAGAGTAACCTCTAGATGGTTTCTCCATTTCATACTGGTCTGGTATCTCGCTGTCTAGATTAGGTATTTGCTAGTGTGCACCAGGCTCCCTGCCTGTGTTCTGCTGCAAATTAATTACTTAATGAGAAAATCCACAAATGGACCGTTAGATAGGTTATGTTGGAACTGAGATCATATAAACAATATGGATATGAATTACATGAGATGTGGCTCTCTCAGCTTCCTCTAGTCCTCTAAAAGCATCCAGCAAAGATTACTGCCCTCACAGATGATATGTATCAGAGGGATGAATTTCAAGCAGGACCTAGCGTGAAGGGATAGTTTTCTTCTGTTGAATGTTCTTGATTACATGCACAAGGGATATAACTTGTTACTACTCTCGAAGTCTTGGGACACTTTTGAGCTTACAAACCTCCCTTTGCCTTGAAGAAGATAGGATGTTCTCTAAAAGAACAAGAAGTATAAGGGTAGTATAAAAGTAGTTCAGCGCACGCCAGAACCACTCTCAGGGCACATCCCAGTCAGCAGCATCTCATCAGGAGTGCTACAGTCCACAGATGTTTAAATCTTAGCATTTTCCCCTTACCACTGAGCATACAGACAACTAGTAAGTGCCAAAAAACTGAGAGAATGGGATGGAAAGAACAACAAAACCTTTGTTTACAGTCAGGAATTAAGTGGGTGCTGGAGTAGACTAAACTTTATGAGACAAATTCTGCCAAAAAAGATTTTGCATTCTGCACTAACTGAAGCTATTGCAGTGTATGCAATTGTATGAAACAAATGACTACATTAAGACCAAATAATAATGCCATTAATTTCTTTTATTAATGGTTCAGCTCCTCCCACAGAGATTCTCACCTTCCATTTAAGAAGTTTCTACCCTATATGGTTGTGGAGAAAAAGCCTGAAGGCGCAGCTGTGATATGATCTACTGGATCAGAAAACACACCAAAGAACCTCACGCCTCTTTTAAATCAAATGAATCATTTTTAAGCTTACATCACAGCATTTATGGTAACCTGACTCAAGATTTTTGAATGACTGGGCTTAGAAGTACTTTAACATATCAAACTAGCAGGCTTCCCAAATAAAAATAAACAAAGCTCTCTTCATAGCTCTTCTGGAGATTAACTCCTTTCCTCTTGCTGCATCACTTACTGCTATGAACAAGGAAAGCAGTGACAACTTTCAACTAACCATCTTATCGAAAGTCTGTGCATCCCATCTAAAACTGTCAAGATAAACAATATAATCCTCCTATGCTATGAGTACATATTCCACTTCCACAATAGAATTATCAGATTTGTAGTTACTCATACCTTTACTGTAAATAAGAAAATGAATATTAAATTGTTAAAAGTTGCTTGAGGACTTCCTTACATGCATTAGAAATAATTTAAGCAAATAAGACATAGAACATGAATATATCGCTGCCCTGTGTCCCGTTGATTTTAAATTGCTCCTAGCTGTCTACATCAGATAAAAAGAAGAAGATGCAATTTTAATGAAGTAGCTCGTCTCCCCAGAACCAACACAAATGATCATATAGCATTTCCACCACAATCAGGAATATATAATGCCAGCAGTATACCATGACTTTACAATTACATAAAGGATTTTTTGCTCAAAATTTTGAAACTCTTGGATCTCTCACTTCCATTACTTATGAAGGTTGCACAATCACATCCGACATGCCATGAAACGTCCATTGCCCCCTGCCCAGGTCTGGTCATCCTTTGATTAATATCATCATTACCACAAAGCTACATTCATTTGAAAAAAGACTTCCCCACCACACCAAAAACAATCTGCATCATATACCATCTTCAACATTGCTTTACAAATTACTCCATCCTCATTCCACAGACATACATATAACAAAAACAATGATGTTACTCACTAGGAACTCCAGACACCAGTCGTAAGGGACGTAAGACTCGGAAAGCCCGCAGTGCTTTAACATCAAATCCGGCACCTTTTCCTCCTATTGAATTCCCCCCATCTGCTTTGGTTGCTTGTTCTAAAATTGCACTAAAAAGCCTGTAAAAAGAAAAGAAACGAGCTGAAGGCAGACAGCAAAGCTTGGGCTAAACAAGAACAGAGATCATCATCGTATCACATGAGCTATCTCACAGACCTGTGAAGAGTGCCACACATGTCACTCAACATTCGCATATGGTGGAGGAGAGAGAGACTCTTCCCATATGCAATAGCCTAATGGTGATGTCTGCACCATTTGCAAAACATTGATTTCTGGAACAGACATAAACATGATGTGTTCCTCCTTCAGCCCAATGGTTCCTTTTGGCCAGCTGTACCTGTCTGCCTGTTGGCATACAAAGGTGTGCTCCCTGCACTGGGTGCTTTGAAATGACCATTTTGGCAATGTCTCATGATGAATGTGCATGTGGTCAGGTTTTGAAGGCAGCCTCCGGTAAGAACATACTCATGGGAAGTTGAGTGGAAAGGCAAGAAACCACAAATTGTTGGTGTTACCCCTTCTGCTGTTAACATGTTTTTGCTATCTTTATTAACCACCCATGCACCGTGGGGAAAGAATCATCATTCATAATTAACTCAATAATTAATTATCTGTCACTCATTTTACAATGAATTAAGATTTACCAAGGTCACAGCAGGTAGAACTGGGTTTAAAAATTAGAGCTCCTTCAAGGTGCACATTTTTAGATAAGAGAGTAAGCTCAGATTATGTGTTTGTGTATCCATTTGTAAATCCCTTGATGCAGTGGCTATGGAAAGTGCAAAACTGTAGGAGTCTTATTATTAGAATATTTTATTAGACCAGTCCAAGTGTTTTGTCTTGGCTAGTAGGAGTAGCTGTTTAAGATGTCTCTATCAAAACACATTTGAAAAGGCAGAGCAAGGCAGGAAAGAATTTTCTTCTATGAAAAGGATGAAGGCTCACCCTGTGTATTAATAAGTGTTTGATTTAATAAATTAGCTGTCAGGAAGCAGCTTCCATGTTTCTGGTAAAACACTGGAACCTTTGGGGGAGTACGGATTCCTCATGACTTTGCTAATGACATTGCTTTCAGCCTCAAAGCCGTCGGCTTGAACCCAGTAAAATTCAGTGAAGGTTAAAAGATGTTCCAGTCTAAATGGATGCTTGGCACTCTGCAGAAAACTTTGCCTGCAAGTGGCAGAGACCCCATGGCCCACAGCATGCCATGGAAGCACTAGATGTAACTTTAAGAAGCTGCCTGGGATGCAGGCAGCAGTCTGGATGAAGTGCCCTGGATTGAGTGCTGGCTGATTCGTCTCCCAGACATTGCAGTCTGCAGTGCCTCTGTCAGGATCTCATTATCTACATTCTTAACTGGCAGACTCCACAGAGAGCCCCCAAACTGCATGTAAAGCAGAGACTGAGCTGCCTGATTGCTTTGCAGGGAGCTCTGCAGTCTGCTTACAGCCTACTGATAGGGCTGCAAATATAGGGAGCTTGCCCTGAATAGAAAAAGGATTCATTTACTGAAGTGTCTAAGCCAACACTTTTCCCCAGCACTAAAACCACAGAAAAAGATGGATTAGTGAGATGCAAATGTGAAATTAGTTTCTTAAGCAGCTTGTTTTTTTTTCTTTTTTAAATTTTATTTAAAATTTCATATAGAGAGACTAATAAAACTTGTCATCTGTGACTGAGAAACACCTAACTGGATCTATTGAAAGCCTCAACTACAGGCACTGCAGAGAGATTTAACAACTAGGTAACAAGTGTGGGAAAAACCGCGTGGGGGGAGGTTGGATGCTGAAGCTGTAGGTGTTGCAGACTGTGAAGCAGGATGCAGAGAAGACAAAAACAGAGCCTATCAGAAATACCGAGTTGACTACAGACAGCGATAAACAGAGACCACAGAGAGCAATAAACAAGGGCTGATGTAAGGAACGTGAATTATTGGAATGTATGTATTCCTTGAGCTGTGTATACAGATTATACAGAGTCACAATTTTCTGCTGGTCTTCATAATAGAAACACTGTAGGTCAAATTTGGCTTAATATATTTCCAGAAAGCAAGTGATTAAGCTCTAGAAGTGTGCTCTACTTCTTATTTAAACATTTCTATCTTCCTAGTCAACACAATTCCCATACTAGATGATGACTGACATTCCCATACAACAGTCCCCGTCTCCTGGGATCCTCTGGAAGAAAAAGAATCCATTGTAAAAGGTTTCTTATGTTGTTTTTTTCAGATGTCTTCAGGTTGAGAAAAAAATGTCGCAGAACTCTGGGTCAGCAATTATGCACGAGTGAGGGTCCAGTCTCCTTGCTGCCCACTGTTGGACCTACTTTCTACCGAACAGCAGTTTGTGGCAGTTGGCATCAAGGGCATTTCTCCTGCCACTCATGCAGTGAGTAAACCACAGACTGCTCTAGAATTCTGAATCCTAAGAAAAGCTACACATGTTCTAAATTAATACAAAAGATACAAAAACAAGGCAAAGCAACTCATTTCTCTGGATCAAGAACCTGCTTTCTCAGACCAGTGCAGCCCAGCTGCAGACCTTGTAACCCTTTTGTGTGCTCCCATACTGACATGCTAGACATGCTATCTTGAGGCATGGAACTGCCTACTTTGTCAGGAATAACTTGCAGCTATTGCTGCTTTTAAAAACCCACGTTTAACCTCAAATTGCATTACTCCTGCTAATCCTGCTTTAGCACATTTGCCCCATGCTTAATATCTCCCTGTGCACTAATCCTGTTTTTTACCAATGCAATACAACTTTTTCTTTATTTATTTCACTCTTCCCTCTTTATATCTGGCTCTACACTGTGTCCAATCTGGCCTACTGAATCTTTATTCCTCTCTCCAAAGTTAGATGACACCCTGCCCTATCCGTCCTTTGTTGCTCCTCCTGAGTTAGGGCAGGGGCAGCTCTATGGCTCATAGGGTACATCCACCACACACTTTTCGGGCTGTAACTTTGTTATGACCCAGAGGGAAAAATAAGACCTGTCTAGAAATGCTTGCAGATGAGAAGACACAGAAGAAAGGTAAGGATTCTGACTGCCTCTTCCATCATACTCTTTTAGGAGGAAAACCCACACCCCATATACACTCTGTAGTTTCTACAATCTCTATCTAGTCTTCCGAGTTCGTCACCTAATTGCTTTCCAGTCCTAAAAGAGACAGATGGATGTTAAGCTACTGGTATAAACTATGAGGCCAGAGTCCTTCTAGTTATAGCGGGGGAAAGTCTGCTCTTTGATGAAAATCTGTGGGAAAAGGTACTGTAGAGCAAAACCCTGCTCTTTCTGTCTCTTCTCAGTGGGAGTTAGCTGAAATGCAGGCTGCAAGCAAGATGTGAGAGGATTCTTTGCACACACAGGAATCAAAGTTTAGACAACATAAAAATGCAAGCAGGCTGAGCTCTTGTGGCCACTGAAAATCTTCACTTTTTTTTTCTTTTCTATTTTTTGAAAGAATTCAGAAATTGATCTTACTTCCTTCCAGCTAACTACTTTCTTCCATGCTAAACTCATGCTCCATTTTCATTAGGATGTAGTATTTCCATTGCAGCAGTGCAGTTAACATCTTGATTTCTGAATTTCATCTGTGACTTGACTACACCTGAACTAAATTCATTTGATAGGCATGGAAAGCAGAAAACATATTTCTATCACACGCAATGCGTGTATGGGCACAGTCCAATTCTGTTTGTTTGATTCAGACCTACTCATGACACATGAAGCTGGCGTCACTGTTTCCACTTTCTCATATTTTTCTGTTTCCTTTCTGATATTTGAAACATCTAAAAGGTTTTCTCTTTGCTAGATGACTCTAACAGCAGCATGACAGGGCTGCAGCCTGCTCTACAACTCTTCAGTTCCTCTGTGAGGAAAGCATGCTGATTTTTAGAGCATGAAAAGGAACCTGTCAAGGGCCTCCAGAATATAAAAAGGAAAGAGAACTTAGTATTTGTAAAGCCAAAATCAGCAGAAAAACACAGCTGAAAGAGTCCTCATAGGTATAAGTAAATAGTAAGCTATAATGATTTTTATTTTCACTGTGTTTTGCAATTCACCTGTGATTTGTGAGTGTGGAAGTGTTTGGGTCCGTCCTTTAGAAACTTCCCAGAGGCCTTCAGGAAGACATACTGTGATCACGTTTTCCAATCTATTCTGAATTGCAGATCTTTTCCAAATACCTTCGCTGATTACCTTCCTGAGTAAGCCTGCCTTTCAAATTATGACACCTTTTTACTGGCAGAAGCTATGGGTCCTTGGAGAATGAGTGTGCTTGGCAGACAAATCACAGCATTGCCAGGAAAGACAGATAGCCTTCCAACATAACACTGTCAAGTTAGTCTTTTCTCAAGAGAAATTTCCTCCAGCAGCCTAATGGTAAAGGACATTGCTGTTTTATCTGAAAGTTTTACGTTTTCCAAAAGAAGAACAGTAAAATTACAGGAAATAGGAAACAATTTGATTAATTGTCAGTGCTTGTGGGTTGTGTGTCATTAGGCAGCTTATGGGTGTGATCTCTACTCTTAACTAATAATGATCTTATCCACAGTGCTTCTGATTGGTACCCACAGACAGACATTTTTCTTTAAAGTAGTATTTAATGGTATTGCTATAGCAGGGTCATAGGCTATTTAAAGACAAGCTAGAATCAAGCCTTAAAAGACTTAACTGATGAATAAGCAGATCTCCTGCACTGCAAGAACGATAAGCTGTTATAAGCCCTCAGGTCTAAAGTGCATCCTTTCTCCTGAAAACACAGCAGTTGTCTTCACTTCTTCCTAAAATTTACACTTGGTTCTACACATCACCATGTTTTTCTTATTCTATTGACTTGCATATTTTAAGGTAAAGGAAGGCAGTTATGCTGCATTATTTTCTTAAGATTTACCAAATTATAATTTAATCGATCTAATGGGTCTTAATTGATCTAATGGATGGGGCTTTGAGCAACCTGTAGCAGGGATGTTGGAACTGGATGATCTTAAAGGTCCTTTCCAACTCAAACCATTCTATGATTCCATGATAATTATAGAATCATTTAGATTGGAAAAGACCTGTAAGATCATCAAGTCCGACTAGCACTTACGACAACCAAGACTAAACTGTGCTCCTAAGAACCATATCCATGCTGCACAAATACCTCAAGGCATGGAGACTCGACCACTTCCCCTTGGGCAGCCTATTCCAATGCCTGAGCACCCTCTCCATGGAGAAATTCTTCCTGACATCCAACCTAGACCTCTCCTAGCACAACTTGAAGCTCTTTCCTCATATCCTGTCACTGTTCACCCAAGAAGAGAAACCGTCATTTCCTTGATGTAATCTGCTTTAAGGTAGTTGTAGAGGGTGATGAAGTTTCCTTCGGCTTCCTCATCTCCACACTAAACAAGCCCAGCTTGTGTAGCTGCTTCTCATGTCTCTTGTTTTCTCACATCTTCACAGCAAATCCATACCTTCCTGCTGTGAGGGGGCCCAAAACTGCACATAATACTGCCAGGACTTTGGTTTCACCAATGCCCCATACAGAGGGACCAGCATAAGTAGTAAGCACTACATACTAAGTGGACTGAGAGATGAACAAAGTATCTAAAAACCTGTCTTTTCCTTTCTTCCCTTAGCTTTCATCAATATATGAAATACTTCCCAACTAGACTTTCTAAAACAACCATCACTGAAAATGAAAATAAGGCCTGAAGCAGAACAAGCACAAACATCAGTTACCACGGTCATTTTTTTTTTGATGCTTCTATTATTACTGTCATGTTGTTCCTTGCCTCCCAGGCCAAATAACCCCCTCTGCCCAGTGCTACAATCGTGCCCAAATCATTCAGCTTTTTCCAATAGCTTCATCAGTGGCCAGAAAAAGGTGCCACAAAGAAATGCTGATACAAGTCTTTATTTCTGCACTTTTCCTCCACCTCACTTTCCCTCACTTGTATATTTTGTTTCCCCATGGGGCTACCGCTCTAACAATCTATTGAAATGTCACTGAAATTTAAACATGATGTCACTGAGGTGTTTCAGCCCCTAGGAGAACATGACAGGGCAGAACAGGAACAGATGGCGTTGCCACGTAGATTTTGCAGAGGGCTTGTGGAGAGAAATAGCAGCACACTGGGTTAGGCTGTGGCAGCCTAGGAGAGAATTCAAACAGATAAACATCAAACGGACCCACCTGGCCTTGAAGCGGAATTTGTCACTTGAGATTGTTACTATTTAACAGAGACCATGGGGTCTTGGCCATGTTTATTATGCTGTGTAATCCCACCCCAGTTACATTTTTTGTTGCCTATCTAGAGACTGAGAGCTGCTGGAGGCAAGAGCAGGTACAAGAGCTGAGAGATGCTGCTTCTGCCTTTATTGGCAGGGGAATTAATTTCAGCCTGTATATCATCTTGCTGATTAACTGTCTTGGGAGGAAAATTGAAAAGGACTGTACTTAAACTAGATATAATGCCGCCCTGTGATTTCTGGAGTCTTGCTATCTAGCATACCAGTGGAAGAAGAAGAGGTAACACACGACCTCTCTTTAAAAAGTCTTTCTCATAGAGATGAAAAGGAAATAATCAGATTCATAGGAGTTCTGTTCTCCAGTATTTCTTCACCAAGCAGTGATCCCAAGGCATGTGAGATGTCTGAGGACATTCAAAGGCAGAAACAGCTACAGAATTGGGCAACAATAACAGGGGAGGGGTTGGGGATTTGCCAATTTTCAATTACTAATTCGCTGTGCAATCTTCTGGCTGCGGGCAGGAATGAAGGGCAAAGGAAACTGGGCACTGCTGCAAACGGAGGAGCTATGCCCACTTCGAGTGGTGATGTCTTGGGAATAACAACTGGTGCTGACCTGTTCTCTCTCCCCTCAGTAGAAACTCCTTCCGCCCAATTTTCAAAGAATCATAGAATGGCATGGGTTGAAAAGTACCTTAAAGGTCATCTCATTTCAACCCCCCTGCTATGTGCAGGGTTGCCAACCACCAGACCAGGCTACCCAGAGCCACATCCAGTCTTGCCTTGAATGCCTCCAGGGATGGGGCATCCACAACCTCCTTGGGCAACCTGTTCCAGCACATCACCACATTATCCCCAGAATGCTGAATGAAAGCAGTAGGGAACCAGTAGTACAGAGCAGAAACAGTTTGCTGAAACAGTTATTTGGGACCATCCCCAAAATGGTCAATTTGAACTTCAATTAGAAGCAGAAATTACAAGGAGCACTGATGACTCAGAGTGTCCTCTTTAATCTTTACCTGGGAGTTGTACTTAAAGAGAGCTTAGTAACAGAAGACAGAACAACTTTTTACAAAAAGGTAGATAATGATAAGAGAAGGGGGAGTGGTTTTAAACTAAAAGAGGGGAGATTTAAGTTAGATGTTAGGAGGAAATTTTTCACTCAAGAGGCCAAAGTGAAGCCCTGGCACAGCTGCCCAAAGAAGCTGTGGTGCCCCATCCCTGGAGGCATTCAAGGCCAAGCTGGATGGGGCCCTGGGCAGCCTGAGCTGCTGGGTGGCAGCCCTGCCCATGCAGGGGGTTGGAACTTGGATGACCTCTTCCAACCTAAACCACTCTATGATTCTGACGAAAAGTTTCCTTGGGAAAGAGGTGGAAAGACTGAAAGTTTTTGTGGGCGATGACATTCTGTAATAATGGAGCTGTGGGAGGGTGGGACCAATTACTGAGAAGAAAAAATACCTTCTCTCTTTGTCTTTGGGATAGTTTATTCTTCATTCCTTCCATTCAACAATCACAAATCAAGAACCTTATTTATCTCTTACACTCAGTAAGAAAAAAAGTGGAAGGTTCTTTACTTTGTTTTTATTCAAATATATTAAATGCCAAGCTTGAAAAACACAGAGAAGAGACTGCAGCTTCAAGTGGAAATGTGATAATATATATAGTTATATATAATATATATATAATAGTAAAATTATTAGTCTTTAAAAAGGTTAAAGTATTAAAATTGCCCAAATCAAAAGATCACCATCAGAAGTGTGATTGACATTTTTTTGTTGTTGTTTCTGAAAATAAAAACCTGAGATTTAAATTTTTCATCTTTCTTTGCAAAAGAGTAGAAGTTCACAAGAATGCAGAATTTATTTCTTATTAAATACCATTGTTAATTTATGAATTCTACATATATATTTTTCTCTAATATTCACACAGACTTGCAAATAAAGGGATTTTCTTCTACCATAAATGTGTTAAAGCATTTCACTTGCACTGCTTTCTTTTTTCACCCACTACAAAAACAGCAGTTTAATTTCCATATCTTGCAAACCACTGAAAGTTTTAGGAAAGTCTAATTAACAAAGGATACCAGAGAGAAAACGTATATCAAATGGATGTCAATTCTTATTTATTTACCTTAAGGTAAGTCATTGCTACACACTGAAATCAGCATGAATCAAGTTACACCTACAAATGACCAGCAGGAATTAACTGTATTTTCAGATTGTGCAATAACGCTTGGTAGAACATGTGATAGAGAGGAAAAGACGGATAGCAACCCCTCACATCACTTATAAGGGATGCTCCAACCCTCATACCCCTTCATGCTCCCAAAGGTTCCCAGTGGCCCAAGGTGTTCAGTGCATTCAAAGACATGATGCAGGTACTCACCCTACTACCACAATTATAAAATCTAGTAAATTCCAGCCATTGCGGAGGTAAGCGTTGGGATGAAAGAGAAGTCCATATGCTATTACTTTTAAAAATGCTTCCACTGTAAAAATTATGAGAAAGAGATATTCCACTCGTTCCTGGAGAGAAAAAAGAACAAGAAAGACAATGGTTAGCATGAGTGACAAACACTGGACAAGGACAGTTTTCTGCCGTTGCATTCCGCCTACACGGCCTCCAGCTCACTACTCATCACTTGGGTACATATAACATCTGTGACTTGCCAGAGGGCTTCCCTCCTCAGACTTGCATATTTTGCAGCCAATCCGACAGGACGACGACAGCAAATTTTGGTTAGGCATTTGCTGCCTTTGCCATGGTAGGGACTGACCACTGCACAAGTGTGTGCACAAGAGGAGGACAGAGGGTCCACAAGCATGTGCCAGCACCAGCTCTCTGTAGGAAACACTGCCAAGTGCTGTCACCCCTCTGAATGAACTGTATCCAGGTCCTTTCTACCTCTGGGAAGAAGGCGTTGCTGGATGCAGTGCTGCAGAGAAGGACAGGGAGAAATTCACTGATGAGTGTTTTGCACAATGTCTTTTTTGGGATTTCTTTTTTCTATTGCTAGGAATAGGTAAGCTACTGGTTTGTCACCAGTTTCTGATTTTTGGATCAGGCTGACTAAGACATGAAGCATTTAGTTATTCCATCAGAAATGTACATGTCCTTGTGAAATGAGGGCTGAAATTTAAGCACATTCCAAACAAAGTCACTTCTAGTGACAGTACAGTCCTATTCTGACAATCAAGCAGCCTTCAGGAGACAGCACACAGGCTCTCTGTCCTTCATCTCTGGGTTTTCAGCCCTGGAGTGAAATAACAATAGTAGTTTTGCAGAAGTAGTGGGGACCTCCATCTAAGTAGGAAGGAAACGGCAGCATTAGCTAATCACTACAGAAGTGCTGTGTGGCAAGCTGGGTTGGAAATAAGTACATGAAAACAAGATGACAGCAAAGGGAGATTAGGCCCCTTTTGAGTTTAAGCTGCAAAGTCAGGTATTAAGAGTATTTCTCATTCAAGAAATAAAAATCTCAGATAGAAATTAAAACAGCCCAGATAGTCTTGTTCATATCCTGTAGGATATGCAGCAAGACAATCAGGCAGCTCAGTGCTTTGTCTTTGCAGTTCCAAACTGCAGTTGCCCTGCTCCTCTGTCTTGTGGCGCTGATAAATGCATGTATGACAATTTCATATGACATAAAAACATAAAATGTGTGAGTTTACGTAAGATCACTCCATCATTTGACTCAGTTGCCCATTTGAACTTCCTCCATTCAGATTCAGGTAATTAATAGCAACTGACTAGCAACTCATTAATCAAAAAATGTGATACTCGTCCATTTCCATGTTTATATTAGCATTCTTATTTTATAAGCCTGAGAAAGTCCATCTGATGGTAGCAGGTACATGCTTGCACTTTAAAATATCGATCTCTTCTCTCCCATAATGATACCACAACACTTGCAGTAGTGCCTGGAATTTACTACAAAGAGCACCTAAAAAAGTATTGTTCTGTATTTATCTGATCCAGTAGTAAAGCTTTTGAACATGCCCACAATACAGAATTTGCTCAACATTGTTCCAGACAGACACAGATGAGGACACCAAGAATTTTTCTCCCACTGAACTCAGAGAAGAATGCAGCAGCTTACAGCACCAGTGACTACTGCATTAATGAATCTCACTCCCTGTTCCATCCAAAGGGTTTCCTACAGTTGTGGGCAAGTTCTTCTTCCCCTCAAAAAAGACCACCAGCATCTCCCAGCCCACTCTCTCATTGAGACTGCCCTTGAGATTACTGTTTGTACTCAATACATTCTGCTCTGTAAGCAGAGAAAATGGCTCATGGAGAAACATGGGTTCCCCAAACAGCCTTCTCCTACAACGTCTCTTGGCAGTCAAAGGGATTTTGACGGCCCCATTCTCTTGGTTACCAGCTCCAGGTACAACTTGAACCTGACTGGCTAAACAACTGAAGGGGAAGGTCTGAGGCTGACCTCGTGCTCAGTGATTTATCTCTAAACATTGCCCTTGACCTCAAGAAACACTGGGACAAATGCTGCTGTGTCTGGCTCTGTGCTCTCTGTGGCAGCAGTGCTCTGCTGTACTGCTCTGCCCAGCCAGAAAAGCCTTTCCACTCCATGAATTTCATTGAAATACCTATATTATACAACCAAAAGACCAAGAAGGCAAATACTTGAGAAAATTCTGGAAAAAAACTTTATCATTATTTAGCACTGCACACAGCAGCCAGTATTTCAGCAGCTAACAGGTTCCACTGAGTTGGTTTAGGAGCTTCATACCACGCTGTCTCTGAAGATGTCTGTGGGATGATTGACTCCTGCTTTGTTGAACCACATCACTGAGGTAATAATATGCCAAAATCCTACATGCACATGCGTATATATATATGCACATATGCATATAAGCTACAGGTGGTTTGAATAAACTCTTTACAATGCCTGGGTTATGATGGAAAGCTTCAAAAAAAGCAAAATTATTTAAAAGCCTCTGAAATGAACATAAGATACAGAATACTGAGCAGAGGAGTGAGACTTTATGATCCTCTGCACTTAAATTAATGATTTCAGGACTGAAGGAAAAATACTGCCCAACTTACACAGTGCAGCTACTCCAAGGCCATTTCAGGGAGCTGCTCACGCTCAGAATCGAGAAGAATTTGAAGAGCCTACTAATTAATTTGTGTTCCCTTTCTGCCGTACACCATAAAACTGAAGAGCTGTTATGAGCACAGCAAAGCCCAGCAGTGAGGAGACAGAAGCAGACTTCCAGGGACCTGGGTGCAGTCCCACTCAGTGCCCCCTGCCTGGGGAGCTCAGACATGACTCAGCCACCTGCTACCTTGGTTGGACATGAGAGGAACAGCCAGTGCACTTGGCAGGCCCAGGACCATTAACTTGCCTCTGCTAAATGGGCAGCCGTGCCGCTGCTGGCTGCTCACTCCAAACTTTGCTCCCAGGAACTAGGCACATTGGGCCCCAGTATTTCAGGTTCCCGAGGGGCATAACACCCTAAAGTATCCAGAAACCCTGCTCCTCTGAGAAGGCAGTTTTGTGCCATGTCAAAAGAATCCCAGAATCGTTTGAGTTGAAAGAGACCCTTACAGGCCATCTGGTCCAAGCCCCTGCAGTGAACAGGGACACTCACAGGTAGATCAGGTTGTTCAGAGCCCCATCAAGCCTGATCTTGAGCATCTCCAGGGACTGCTGGTGCTGCCTGCAACATCCTTGGAGGGAAAGGAGATACCATGGCACCATCCCTTAAAAGCACATACTCAAACCACAGCATCAAAAGACAGCAAACATTCTGGAGCTGAAAGAAAGAAGGCATGGTATTTTTTCAGTTGTGTCTTAGGAATGGGAACTGTGCTGATGAGGTTTAGATTCAATAAGGATGTTGCAGGTTGCAGAATTACAAAGCAGGAGCTTCCTGTTTAAATAGTATTGATAAAAATGTTTCAAACGAAGAAAAAAAAAAAACCAAACACCTAAGACAAACTACCAAACAGAAAAGCAAAATGAGTGGAGAAAGAGGACTGATAAAAGTTTTCTAAAACTGATCAGCGCCTGGAGAACACACATGGCTCTACCACTGTTCTCATTTGTTTTATTACAGATATAGGACATAAGCATCAGCTGCCCTGGATGACAGACCAGCCAGCACCAGCACTGCCAAGAAACAAACTGTACATCATCTCATTCTTAAAGAAACAAACAGTAACTTGCTGCTGAGCCTCTAAGATGTATTTCCAAAAGAAGATTACTATATTAAGTACAAAGCCTCTCTAATCCCATGTGCTTTCTGAAGACGTCATAGATTTGTTTTTGTTTTTAATTTTTAAACGGTACCTAATGGCAGCCTGGGTTCACAGGCGGAGTCTGAAAACAGGAAATCCCAGCACAGCACTGTAGGGTGCCTTGGGGTTTTTCTCCTGCCATGAGAGGAGCAAGCAGACCAATGCTGCTCCTGGGGACCCAGTCATCAGAATGACTCTATCTCAGTCCTTAGCTCTTCAAACCCCATCCACCCAGCAGCTCTGTTTGCAATGAGCACATTCTCAATGCAAGAGTTAGCCAGGGCTCAATCACAGTCAGAGCCTTGCACTTCATACATCCCAATCTAGAAAGTTTACAATCTGAAATTCACTCAGCACAGGTTCTCTCAAATATTGCTCTCTGTCTCTGCTAGAACTCTGCTTATCTTGTAACAAACAATTTCAAAATCTAGATTTTATGTATTTGAAGCAAAGTGCAGCAAGCTCTTCACAGATAGGACCCATCTAAAGCTGCCTGTGCGATGTTAGACCAAGTTACGTCAGTGTCTGCACTACTATTCCCTAGTGCTTCCCTAACATAACGGAACACAGTTCTTCAGTAATGCAAATATTCAGTTATCCAAGGAAAACAATGATATTTTAAGGGCCTCTGTCATATAGGATGTTTTCTCATTAATTGTACAAATAGGCTCTGAGAGATACAAGTCAGGGTGGGAACACTCAGACTTTTTCCGAGTAGGGAAAACTATATTTTGCTGATGGGAAGCAAGGAAACCGACTTGCAGAGCTGGGAAAACAGCCCTAATACTTTGTGCAAGAGATTTCTTTTTTTTTTTTTTTTTGGATTACAAGTTACCATCACATCTAAGATACAGATATCCCTGCTCTGTGAGTATGCTGACCTGAATGCTACCGTTTGCTTAATAACTTCAACTTTCACTGTGAAAGAGCCACATGTGTGCATTTATATATAAGATCAAGTCAATAAAGCAGATGTTGAGACAGGTTTGTTAACACTGAGTTACTTCTGAGTGTATTTGGTTACTCAGGAGATGTTTCCAGCTAAGTATGCATGAAAATAGTACACAAATACATCAGGGAATAAAACCTATAAGTGTTTGGAATTTTTTGACTTATGAAAATGACTGCCACTGCAGAAAACACTGACCATTTCCTTTTTTTTTTTTAAATAAAAATAAAGGAACGATTAGATAGCATATGGTCGAACATAACCTAATCTGCTGCTAATACTGGACCTAAAACACACTGTCCTTTCTACCAG